TAACTAAATGCATAAAATGATGACACACGTCTAATGATGTCAAGGGTCTCAAATACTTTGTTAAAAAAAAAAGCAGCCCATTTCCAGGTAAATTCTACTTATATTCTTCACCATTCCAGCTTCTGTTCTTATTTAACTTTTAAAATAAAATATTATCTAGAATCCAATATGGCTTTATTTCCGACACATACTGCTGTGATGGCATTTTACCTCACTTGTGGATGAAGCAAAAAGCAGAGAACAGGTCTTAAACAGAAGCCTAACAGCAGCCGCTTGGGTCTGAGCACTGAGTGCCGCAGAGTGGAAAGGGACGCTGTAGATTTCAGTGTCAGCCCTAAAGAACGCAGTGGAAACCTCACATTCCTTCCAAATCACCTGCACTGACTCAGACTACTCTACTTCATGTTGCTGAAGTGTCTACCTCCAGTAAGGGAAAAGGAGGTCAGTAAGGAAGCCTGACACAAAATAACATGGGATTCAGCCACGAGCTGGGAATAGAGAAATGAAAAGGAGCCTGAGTTCAAGCACTGAGAAAGGAGAAAAAGGGGCTTGTGGTCTGGGGCCCTGCCTTCCTGACACAAACATGACACTAAAAAAAAATCATCAGGTGGAAGTTCGAGACCAGCCTGGCCAACATAGTGAAACCCCATCTCTACTAAAATACAAAACATAGCCAGGTGTGGTAGTGGGCACCTGTAATCCCAGCTACTTGGGAGACTGAGGCACGAGAATTACTTGAACCTCAGAGGCAGAGGTTCCAGTGAGCCAAGATCATGCCATTGCACTCCAGCCTGGGTGATGAAGTGAGACTCCATCTCAAAAAAAAAAAAAAGAAAGAAAGAAAAAATAATAATCATGAAAAGGCCAGGGCTGGGGTGCTATTACTTGCACAACTTCAGACAGCTCAGTTTCTAGGGCTGGGTATATAAAACGGTGTCTCCTGTTTGTGGTTCTCAAACACACACACCCAATAATCAGCTGGTGACCAAGTCCTACATTCTCTGAGACCAAGTGGGGAGGCCTGCAATCTACATTTTAAATAAATACCCCAGGTTATGGTGACACATTTGGTCCAGAGACTACTGTGTCAGAGACACTGTTTTAGGACAAAGGAAAAAAAAAAGATATGGGTCAGAAGTAAAAGGGTTTCATCACCTGACTTTCAAACCAACCTCATAAGATTACGATAAATAACGAATCAGCCAATATACATAAACTGCATAAAACAGGAAACTACCTTACTGCTGTTTTGCAACTATGTTAGCTATTCGTGATGCTACCAATTACCGTCTAAGGTACAGCAGTGTCTACTATGTTGTTCGCCTTAAAAGTCAGTTTTGAACTTAAGACCTTTCTTCTTTCCACAATGAATAAACTGCCTTAGTTTATGTATAACTCCTCAAGAACAGGGAACCTGTCTTACTTCAATTCGTATCACCAGCTTGTTCCAGGTACCTACCGCAAAGCAAGTGCTCAAAACATCGGTGAAACTGAACCAAACTGCACAGACCATGGGATTCTACAATGACATTGGTAATGGTGGTGGGGAATGCAAGACCTTCCTTGTAGAGTGTGGACTATGTTAAAAATATGGAGACTCGAAGTTTTTCTCTACAAACAAAAAAGGGGAAACCTAGGCTCTTAAGATACAAAGCTTTATAAAGTTATTATTCCTCTGGAGTTAAAAAAAATAGAACTATTATTAAACATACATGCAGTGTATTACATGAAAATGCCTAAGGCTCTCTTTATGCACCTCTGTAACCACTGTCTTGATAAACTCAGCACATACAACAGAACAAAAAAGACACACACACATGCATACACACACAGAGACAGGAAGAACACACCCCATCACGATGCCGTTACCTTGGGTCTACATTTGGGATACTCATGGTCACCTGGGAGCACCTTGAAAGAAATTGGTACCCGATCAGCTCTCCGATTGGCACAGAAGGCATCCCAGACAGCTCGATGGACTGCATTATAAACTACATCCAGGCCCGTCAGAGTAACAAAAGCCATAGGCCGGCAACATAATTCCACAGGGAAGTCCCACTGTGTGGGGCTCATGTTTATAACGTCACGAAAAACCTGAAATACAAACGTTAATGCACTCATAATTCATTTTTAAAAACTCATCTTCATTTCTAATACATGAGCCTCCATTTAAAAATCACTACCAAAAAAAAAAAATCATTACAAAACCAGGTGTGGTGGCTCATGTGTAATCCCAACACTTTGGAAGGCTGAGGCAGGTGGATCACTGGAGGCCAGGAGTTCGAGACCAGCCTAGCCAACAAATAAAACCTCATCTTGACTAAAAATACAAAATATAATCTCCAAAATATAATCTATTTATAATCTAATTGGCTGGGCATGGTGATGTGCACTACAAGTGCACACTTGATCTCTTGACCTCGTGATCTGCCCACCTCGGCCTCCCAAAGTGCTGGGATTACAGGCTTGAGCCATCACACCTGGCCTGTAACAAGGTTCTTTTAAAAGGTAATCTACACCAGTATATTACAGAGAATTCAGGACAGGCATAAGTGGCTCATGCCTATAATCTCAGCACTTTGGGAGGATGAGGCCAGAGGATTGTTGAGGCCAGGAGTTGGAGACCAGCCTGGGCAACATAGTGAGAGCCTGTCTCTAAAAGAAATAAAAAAGAAAACAGCTGGACATGGTGGCGTGCACTTGCAGTCCCAGCCACTGGGGAGCCTGAGATGGGAGGATCATTTGAGTCTAGGTGTTTAAAATTACAGTGAACTATGATTGTGCCACTGCACTCCAGCCTGGGTGACAGAGCAAGATCATGTCGCACACACACAAAAAGTTATTCCAAACAAAATTATCACTATATTTTTAATATAATCTTATTTGAAAAAGAGTATGTCGTGAGGCTCTTTTAAAAGGTGATCTACACTGGTATATCATAGAGAAGTTGAATATAATCTTTGCGAAAAGTGAGGCACGCTTAGGCTAATACTTGATTCCAAAACACGGAATATTTTTAACTGAAAGGTTAATTTAGGAAAGACTATTAGGTTCCTCATGTTTAAGTACTGAAAGAACAATAGGTATTGAATAAATGATTTACAAAGCTTGCCAGAAATGTCTACAATGGATAGTTTTAGAACTGTTTAAATATTTTTAGGACAGGATTAAGTTATGAGGACACAGGACTGCATGTTGACAGAAAGAAACAGTCTAGTTATGGGCATTTGGGAATGAAAATTAAAAAGAGGTGACCAGACCAGGCTCAGTGGCTCACACCTGTTATCCCAGCACTTTGGGAGGCTGAGGCAAGATCAGGAGGTCAGCAGTTCAAGATCAGCTTGATCAATAAGTGAAACCCCATTTCTACTAAAAATACAAAAATTAGCTGGGCATGGTGGCGCGCACTTGCAGTCCCAGCTACCTGGGAGGCTGAGGCAGAAGAATCCCTTGATCCCAGGAGGCAGAGGTTGCAGTGAGCCGAGATGGCGCCACTGCACTACAGCCTGGGCGTCAGAGAAAGACTATCTCGACGAATACAAAAAGAGGTGACCGAAATGCAATACAGGTACCTTTGCTTAATAAGAAAGAGTCTACACTAGAGGCCATCTCCTGGAATAACTCCAGAGGCCCAAAAGACATTAGCTGTGGTCTTTGAATATGGAGTTGAAATAAGAGGAACTATAAATGACTGTGTCATACAATGGATCTATGAGCCACATAAATAAATTAAAATTTTCTAGTAATCATATTAAAAAGTAAAAAGTAGAATTCAATATTCCATTTAACCCAGTACAGTATGTCCAAAATATTACCATACTGGCACTAATATAAAAGTTATCCATGACATATTTTACCTTCTTTTATACTAGGTCTTCAAAATCTGGTGTGTATTTTACGCTCACAGCACATCTCAATTCAAAGTAGCCTTTTTCAAATGCTTGATGTAGCTGCTGGCTACAGAACTGGACAGCAGAGATCTAAATTATGGAAAATCTGTCTCAAAATGACTGCATGAAAATTGTATCGGAAATCCTTGCTACGTTCTCCTATGGCATTTGAAATGCTCGTGCTTAATTCTGCAGCAAAGGAATGAGAACAAGAACACCGATACCGCACAGGCGCAGACTGAATGGATCTCCATGACAGCCTGGAAGAAGAAATTTCGGGTATCCTGGAAGAAGCCAATGGAGCAATCAACGAAACGATACAGGAAAGGAAGCGCAGCTATACAAAGTGAATAATGGATGGGAGATCAAGTAGCGCAAGGGAAATAAACTGGCAACTAGCGTGGAAAGAAACGTGACCCAATCAAAGTGGCAGCTAAAGAAAGCCCCTAACCTAAAGTGGTTACTATTTTTTTTTTAATGAACTGGAAGTTCAGCATGCAGGACACAAGGCTACTAAGAATGGGATTCGGAGATGTCCAACTACAAAACCAGGTGCTTCGATGCTAAAGAAGAGAAGTAACAACCCCACCTAGGAAAAACACCGTCCCCGTAGTGGCAGTACCTGCTCTGGTAGTTCCAGGGAGGAAAGGTGGAGAAATAATCTTGCAGTCCCTAAAGGCAGGTATCTTCCTCCTCCTATTCCCCTGTGTTAAACCTGGGAGGTCCTAGAAATGGGTGCGTCTTTCCTTGGGTCTGAAAGAGAAGTGCCCGGATTGCACCCGTCGATGCAATAGCAAAACGCAGGCCCCCAAACCAGCATTGCTAAGAGCTAGCTCTCTTCCTCGGCGGTCCCGCCTGGCCCCACGGGTCTCCGGGCCCAGACTCACCTAGGCCCGCTGCAGCTGAGGCCGGTCGCTGCCAGCCGGGACAGGACGAGGGGAGGCGGGAGCCTGTCACAGAAGGCCAGGGCCCGTCCCCACCGCCGCAGCCCCACCGCCAGCTCCAGCAGGCAAGACTTCCCTGTACCCACCTCCGCCGGCACAGGAAGTACTTTCTGGGCTTGAGTGACAGCGCTCTACACCAATCGCTGTCCCGGAACCTTACGCGCTCCTCCTCCAGGCGTCGGGAAGACGCTGCACTTCCCAGGCCCCACCTGCCACGGCTGGGGTTCTGCACCCACAGCCCACCGCCCGCGGCTGGGCGCTGCCGAGCCCCAGGGCGCGCCCGGTTGGCGTCTGCCAGTGCCGAGGCTGTGCTGCCCACGCAGCCAAGGAGCCAAAGTTGGACCCCGGGCCTCGGGGCCGCTGCCCTCGCTTTCTCTTGATTGTTGCGGACGCCTTCCGCTCTGGAGGCGCCCCGCGACCGGCGCGATGAGTGCCAACGAGGACCAAGAGGTGAGCCCCCCCACTCTCCCCGCGCGGGCGCGGCGCGGAGCCCCGGGCCCTGGTGAGACCTAGTGCCCGGACGAGCGGCCTGGCACGTGCCCTGCGCCCTCGGAGCCGGCGGGGGTGCCCCAAGTTCACCGATGTCGCCCCGAGTTCACCGGCGTCTCATCCAAGCTCGCATGAATGGGCAGGAGTCCGCCTCTGCGTCTGTTCCACCCGCATTTTTCATTTTTGCAAACCCGGGAGTCTCCCCAGGTTTCCTTAATAACAGGGATGAGCGTCCTTGGTGCACGACTCAGTGCTCTTGGCTCTCCTTGAATCCCATGTGTTTAAGGCCTGTTTACTGAGTTTTGCTGATCACCTTTAAATTTTAGTCTGGTCACCTTTTAATCTCTTGGCTAGTGGAGAGCTGAGTTAGTTACATTTCTGATGAAAGAAAGTGACACGAGTGGTGCCTCTGGTTTCTGTCCATATTGTTTGGTGAAATCTTTTACTCATCTATTTTGAGCATTCATGTACCACTTGAATTTATGGTTTATGCTCAGATATTTCCTTGTGAGTTGCCATTTTGACACTGAATCATGTAACAGTAGAGTTGGGCGGGTGCCACAGACCATCTGTAGGGGAACCTTCTAACTTCGATAGGTGGGTAGATGAGGAGACGTCCACAAAGGTAAGTTAGTAGCCTAGGGCTGCACCGTGAGTACATAGTAGAATAGGGACTAGAAACCAAGTTTTATTGGGTGGTAGATAAGTAGTAGCTCACTGTTAATTTAGAATATAATGCTTCACCTTCTTTTCTTTGAGATGGAGTTTCGCTCTTGTTGCCCAAGCTGGAGTACAGTGGCTCGGTCTCGGCCAACCTCCTAAGTTCAAGCAATTCTCCTGCCTCAGCCTGGGGAGTAGCTGGCATTACAGACTTACAGGCGTGTGCTACCACACCAGGCTAATTTTTTTGTATTTTTAATAGAAACGAGGTTCTACCATGTTGGCCAGGGTGGTCTCGAACTCCTGGCCTCAGGTGATCTGTCCGCCTCAGCCATCCAAAGTGCTAGGATTACAGACATGAGCCACAGCACTGGCCCTGATCATTTTTATGTGATTAATGTAATAGAATCTCTGGATTGGAAGTTAACCTTTAAAGGACCCAAAGTCCAACAAGCTAGCTAGTTGATACCGGAATCGCTTCTAAAATATTCTTGCCAGGTAAATTTCTAAGTCAGTGCATTAATAGCCTTGCCTCCCTGCAAAGCAAAGAACATACAGCACAATGTTTCTTGGCGTTTGACCGTAGTGCACTACCTCAGAACCATTTAGATGGTTGCTGGAGAACTGATGCCTGCACTCCACCCCAAACCTACTGAATGGAAATGTCTGTGGCGGGCCCAGGAATCTCCACTTTAACAAGAAAATGTTATTCTTTTTTCAGATGACTGATGTTCTGATCTTTGAAGATAGTTTGCTGCCAGGTTCCTCAGACCTCTTCTCAGATGAAATGATTCTTTTTAGCTTTTCTTCCTACATCCATTCTTTAATTTCCTCACCATCCTGGAATCACGTGTCAGTGGACAGATTTGATTTTTGTTAATATCCTGTTTCAGAGTTGTGGCATCATACTGTTTGTCTAGTTCAATTTACTGTTAACTAAAACCTTTTAAGTGCTTTATACAAAGCAGTTTGTCTTTCATCTTCTTCTTCTTCTTCTTTTTTTTTTTTTTTTGAGACAGAGTTTTGCTCTTGTTGCCCAAGCTGGAGTGCCATGGCAGGATCTCAGCTCACCACAACCTCCACCTCCCAGGTTCAAGCAATTCTTCTGCCTCAGCCTCCCAAGTAGCAGGGATTAAGGCACACACCACCACGCCTGGCTAATGTTTTGAATTTTTAGTAGAGATGGGTTTCTCCATATTGGTCAGGCTAGTCTTGAACTCAGCTGGTCTTGAACTCCCGACCTCAGGTGATTCGCCTGCCTTGGCCTCCCAAAGTGCTGGAATTACAGGCGTGAGCCACCACGCCTGGCCTTGTCTTTCATCCTCAACTTTTATATTTAGATATCTAATATTAATACAAATTCTACTTACCCTGCTAAATTTCATTATTAGCTTGCTTTTCAAAGACTTTTTGAATTCTTATTCTACCATCAGCATTGTTTATTATCCCAACAAATTATCATCCACAAATTTAATAAACTTGCCTTCTATTTTTGTTTCTGTCTAAATCATTAATTAAAATATAGCAAAGGATTAGGGACAGAAGGAGTCATACTATATTTTGAGTAAGGTTGTTTGTTCCAATCTAATCTTTGTTATTTCTTGAATCCGGCTTGAATTTCTGTATTTTTTTTCTGTAAAGGTAGCAAGGGAAACTTGTGGAGCCTTGCTGAAATCAATATAGTCTGTATTTTATGCCTTTCTTCATTGTGCCAATCAAGTTTCCCTTTCTAAGAAGGGTATTTCTTGTTTTCCATATGCTTCCTAGATCTTGGGGACTATTCCTTACTCTCTCAGTTCCTCAGACACTATTTCTCTAATGATTTCTTTTCGCTGTTGTTGTTGTTGAGATGGAGTCTCTGTCACCCAGGCTGTAGCACAGTGGCGCGATCTCGGCTCACTGCAACCTCCGCTTCCCGGGTTCAAGCGATTCTCCTGCCCCACCCTCCCGCTTAGCTGGGATTACAAGTGCGCATCACCACGCCTGGCTAATTTTTGTATTTTTAGTAGAGATGGGGTTTCACCCTGCTGACCAGGTTGATCTCGAATTCCTAGCCTCAGGTGATCCGCCTGCCCCAGCCTCTCAGAGTGCTGGGATTACAGGCATGAGCCGCCACGCACGCGCGGTGGATTACAGGCGTGAGCCACCGCGCGCGCAGTGGATTACAGGCGTGAGCCACCACGTACACACAGCCAGTAATTTCTATTATAAAATTTTTACCGTAGATCAAGCCCACTTTCACCATCTTTAGTTTGTAGAATTCTTGAAAATTCAAACGTGGACCCAAGTGCAGTCTTTCTTCTTTTCTCAGATACTCATCAGTGATCACAGTGATGAACTTCTGTTGTAATACCAAAATATTCTAAAAACAATATCCAGGCAAGGATTACTAGTTACATTTTCTCTGACAGCCCTTGATCTCATCTTGGGTAGATACTTGTCAACCTTTTTCTTAAAGTTATTTTTCTTGCCTTTAGATGTGTTTTAAACCCTTGTATCACTCTATGGGAAGGATTACAAATAAAAGGAATGGATGTAAATAACAGCAAAGTATTGCTTTTTATAGTTCTCATCTCGAGGTTTAATGCTCCTTACACCCAGGTTCCTCTTTAGCAGAGTGCTAAGAGCACTTGCTGTGGAGTGGCTTAAACTGAGACTTCTTGCCTCCCTAGTAGGAAGTAGAAAATAATAGGACCTTTTGACAGGGTTGATTTGAGAAGTCAGTGCAATAATACATTGTACAATGCTTAGCAGTGCTTGACATAGAGTTTTAAAGTATCGTTGGTAGTCCTATTGCCACGCGTGCTGCATGCGTGTGTATGGTAAGTATCTAAGCTTGTGTAAGTCAAGTTTTACACAGTTGAGTGGGTTTGAATGAGAAAGTAAAGACCCTCTATTTCTAACTCATTTGTACCGCTAAACAAAACTCATTCAACTCTTTATTTCAGATGGAACTAGAAGCATTACGCTCTATTTATGAAGGAGATGAAAGCTTCCGGGAATTAAGTCCAGTTTCTTTTCAATATAGGGTAAGACATGGCATGAATGAGAGCACTTACAACTTTGCTAGAAAAGACTAAAAGCAGCTAAAATTGCTTGTTTTGTTTCTTCAACTTGTTTAAATTTATTATGTCTGTACTTTCTACAGCGTTTAAATGGAAACATCACCCTAACATCAGTCGTTTTTAACGTTTGAAAACTTAATTCAGAAACTTTTGAAAAACCAGGATAGGGCCGGGTGTGGTGGCCTCACCTATAATCCCAGCACTTTGGGAGGCCGAGGTGGGTGGATCGCAAAGTCAAGAGTTCAAGACCAGCCTGACCAATACTCTGTTTCTACTAAAAATACAAAAATTAGCTGGGTGTGGTGTTGCCAGCCTATAGTCCCAGCTACTAGGGAGGCTGAGGCAGGAGAATCGCTTGAGCCTGAGGGACGGATGTTATAGTGAGCAGAGATTGTGCCACTGCCCTCCAGCCTGAGCATCAGAGCGAGAGTCCATCTCAAAAAAAAAAAAAGACCAGGATAAACTTGTTTTTATTGTACCAGAATCATAAGACATTATAAATGGAAAAAACCTTAAAAATTATATGATCCTATCTTTAACATAAAATAGTAACAGTATTTTATTTTGTAAAAAAGTCATATAAACCTTTTATTCAAATGATCATAAGTAGGCCAGACACAGTGGCCCACACCTATGATCTCAGAACTTTGAGAGGCTGAGGCAGGCAGATCACCTGAGGTTGGGAGTTCATGACCAGCCTGGCCAACATGGTGAAGCCCTGTCTCTATTAAAAATACAAAAATTAGCCAGGCGTGGTGGTGCACACCTGTAATCCCAGCTACGCGGGAGGCTGAAGCAGGAGAATCGCTTGAACTTGGGTGGCGGAGATTGCAGTGAGCCGAGATGGCGCCACTGTACTCCAGCCTGGAGGAAAAAAGCAAAACCACAAATAATTAGAAGTAACGGAATGGGAAAGTTTTTTGTAAAAGGTTTACAGTTATTAACATTGTCACAGTTGAAACTAAACTGTATGAGAAATAATCCTTATGCTTGATTGATGCATAACCATCGCAGAAAAGAAGTTTCTGGTAGTTACCTGTATATAATAACTCCAAGTGTATAATAACTAGGGGGCCTCAAATGCCCAAAGTTAACAGTGGAGCTAAGTCCTAGGCCCTTCTATTTGAATCCAGTTGCTACTCTCTCCTTAGCAAATGGGAGGCTGAGAATTTCCCTTTACTTTCCTAAATGTCTCTATTCACAATGGCAGTGATTCAGAGCATCGTATGCAGAATGCTCAAGTCCATTTTTACGTACTGTAAGATGGACACTGACGTGACTCAGGATGGATGTAAGAAGAAGGAGACGTGAGATGAGGAGGCAGCATTGATAGGCGGAGGGTCTGGGGTAAAGTTCTGCCCGCGTCCTGAGTCTGACCCCAGTTCTTACACGGAACGGTCTGGTAGCCTCCTGGTTGGCTTCCCTGGTGAAGTGTCTTTAGCCCTTGTACGCCCCATTAGTCCTCCAACAGTGCTAGCTGGCTCTCTGAAACATTTAAGTCGTCATCCCATTCACTTGTTTGAAAAGGTTTCTCCATGGATTCCTCTTGCCTATAAAATGAAGACTAAAGTTTTTCATTTGACACAATGAATCCTCCCGTTAGTTTCCGTCTCTCCAAACTTTCCCCTCCGCTCACATCCCTTAGACGTCACGGGTTGTTACGTTTTCCCCTATGTGTTCGTGTCTGTACTGTGCTTTCGCGCACACTGTGTGATCCTTCCCTCACCTCATGTCTGTCATCTCCCTGCTTCTCCTTTAAGGCCTAACTCAAGCCTCCTCTGGGACCTGCTAATATTTGGGCCACGTCTCCTGTTTCTTCCCCGACTTTGAAGCAGAATTGACTCTTCCCCATTTCTTCATACTTTGTTCTGTTACTCTTGAACTGTTATTCATACAGCAGTTTTATAAGTTATATAAATGTCTTGAAGATAAGAATGGCCTTGCCGCTGTCTTTGTGTCTTCAGTACCCAGCACAGGGTGAGGCATGTGATCACTTGTTCCTAAATGCACCATGAGTAAGGACACAGTGATTGCCTGAAGTAACTTTTACCACTCTAACTACCTCTATTTGAAACCTAAACATAAGCCTATGACATCTGTTACTGCAAGTTCTCCTTATCGAGGTATATCAGTAGGTCCCTACATTTATTTGGTCTTATTTCTGAGCCTTGCCTTCTGTTTGTAAGAGTGCAGTTGAGGGTGAAGGCATAGGGGTGAAAAATTAGTGGTCAGAAAATGTAAATCAGGTACTAATTTGGGGTGAAAATTTTATAAATCTTACTGCCGTTGTTTAAGAATAAGTATTTTTAAAAGCAGCATATATATTAAAAATAATACAGACAAGGCTGGACATGGTGGCTCACACCTGTCATCCCAGCACTTTGAGAGGCCAAGGCAGGAGGATCATTTGAGCTCAGGAGTTCAAGACATAGTGGGACCCCGTCTCTATTCTTAAAAAGTAAAAAATGTAGGCCGGATATGGTGGCTCACGCCTATAATTTCAACACTTTGGGAGGCCGAGGAGGGTGGATCACCTGAGGTCAGGAGGTCAAGACCAGCCTGGCCAACCAACATGGTGAAACCCTGTCTCTACAAAAATACAGAAAAAGCTGGGTGTGGTGGTGGGCATCTGTAATCCCAGCTACTTGGGAGACTGAAGGAGGAGAATCACTTGAACCTGGGAGGTGGAGATTGCAGTGAGCCGAGATCACGCCATTGCACTCCAGCCTGGGTGACAAACTCTGTCTCAAAATAAATAAATAAATAAATAAAAGTTTTTTTAAAAAAAGAAAAAAATAGTAAGAGGAGATTAGCATAACCCTTTGCAAGGATGAGATGTTGATTCATGAATCATTCTAGAAAATCACCCTTTTGCAACCACCAGTAGGATAATTGATTCATTTAAGCACTGCTCACTCAAAGGTTTTAGCCTTTTGGTGAAAGGTCATCTAGAAACAAGGTATTCACACAGTTTTGTGGTGTCACCCCACAGATGATGATGATTTTTTTTATAGAGACAGGGTCTTGCTATGTTGCCCAGGCTGCTCTCCAATTCCTGGCCTCAAGTGATTCACCGGCCTTGGCCTCCCAAAGAGCTGGGATTACAGACATGAGCCACCTCACCCAGCAAGATTATTCCTTAATTACAAAGTGAAAATGTTTGTGTGGAAGAGATCTAGAGATCACCTTAACCATGTGATCAATCTTAGTGTCACCAATGATGATTCTGGAAGATGTTGTGTGCCTCCTTATGTGATACCCTGGGAAGATGCCACGTCACCTCTGTAGTTTCCTTACCAAAAATGCTTAATTTGAATCTGAACAGAGAAAACAATCAGTTCAGAACTGGGGACATAATATAAGAAAATTAGCCTGTATTCTTTTTGGTGGCTTAAAAGACAAGAGGAAGCCTGGCAGTGGCTCATGCCTGTAATCCCAGCACTTTGGGAGGTTGAGGCAGGAAGATCAGTTGAGCTCAGGAGTTCGAGACCAGCCTGGACAACATAGGGAGACCTTGTCTGTTCAGAAGGTTTTTTGAAATTATCCTGGCATGGGGCACACACCTGTAGTTCCAGCTACTGCAGTGGCTGAGGGGGGAGGATTTTATTTTTATTTTTTATTTTTTTACTTTTGCCAGAGTCTTGTTCTGTCACTCAGGCTGGAGTGTGGTGCATGATCTCGACTCACTGCAACCTCTGCCTCCTGGGTTCAAGTGATTCTCCTGCCTCAGCCTTCCTAGGTACATACCACCACACCCAGCTAATTTTTGTATTTTTTAGCAGAGACGGGGTTTCACCATGTTGGCCAGGCTGGTCTTGAACTTCTGACCTTAAGCCATCCACTCACCTTGGCCTCCTAAAGTGCTGGGATTACAGGCATGAGTCACTGCACCCTAGCCTGGGCGATAGTGAGACCCTGTCTAAAAAAAAAAAAAAAAAAAAAGCAGGGGAGAGGGCTGGGGACTGTTCTAAATTAAAGCAGAATAAAGAGGCATAACAACCCAATGCCGTCCACGATCCCTCAATGGATTATGGATTTGTGCGTTGGGGTAAAGTCTATTAAAGAATACTTTAGATATGATAGGGTAGTTTTTAATATGGTTTATCTATTAGGTAGTATTTTTATACCAATGTTGAATTTCTTGGGTGTGATAATGATCTTGTAGTTATGAAGACTGTCCTTAAGATACTTTACTGAAATATTGAGGAAATTTTATTACTTTTAAATATTTCGGCAAAAACCAAAAGGGAAAAAAACCCCATTGGGAGAGTAGGAAAGAGGGTAAGATAAAGTAAATGGTGCAAAAAGTGTTTGATGAATAAGATGAATGTCAGTGAGTGTTCATTCTACTATTTCAGTTTTTCTTTATGATTAAAATTATTTAAATAGTTGGCAGAGAAAAAAAAAGATGTCTTTATTCAGAAATTGTTACTCATCTGAAGGCATTCCTTTCCCTTATCCTTTGCCTTTTCCTTCTTTCTCTCAGTTTTATATTTCATTTTCTGATCTCTTGGGGTTGTGCCTGTTGGGATTTAGCAGTTGTGTAATTTAAGACAAAGATGAGGTATGTTGAGTTTGTGAATTATTTTTGTCAATTCTCTCCCATGGACAAGTTGATGTTTTATTTTAATCCTCAGAAAACTGGTGAAAACACTGAAAAATACCTAAGACGTAGGTGTGGTACCAGAAAAGCTGGTAGGCTGGTTAGGGACAAATCGTGGGCATAAACTGAACCTATTCAGATGTAATAGGACTAAATTAAAGTCAGGCTGTCCTGAGGCTCCCTTCACCCCTGCTCAGTCCTAGCCTGTACCCCTAGACTTTTCAAAATGTTGCATTTCTGATCTGGGCATGAATATTGGAAAGAACTTACCCTTTTGAAGATTATAATTTAGTTTTCTATCTTTTTATCACTTTTTACAAGCCTAAGATTTCCCCTTCTCTTCAGATAGGTGAAAATGGTGATCCCAAAGCCTTCTTAATAGAGATTTCCTGGACAGAATCATATCCCCAAACACCTCCAATTATATCTATGAACGCTTTTTTTAACAACAACATGTGAGTAGTGTTTTGTTTTTACTGCCTCTCATTTCACTCTCTGTTACGCTTTTCTCAGCCAGGTGTTCTTGTTCTTTGTAGATCATCAGCAGTAAAGCAGAGTATATTAGCCAAACTGCAGGAAGCAGTAGCAGCTAATCTTGGAACCGCTATGACCTATACGTTGTTTGAATATGCCAAAGACAATAAAGACCAATTCATGGAGAACCACAACCCCGTCAATTCCACAGTGAGTATGTGATTGTTTTTTTTTTTTTTTTTTGCCGGATTCTTTTGTTGTTCTGGTTTTGCTCTGTAGTAATTAATTTGTACTAGTTAATATATATTCAAAATTGTAAGAAGACTTTTGTTAAAATGACAGTTATGCCTGAGTTAAATAAGAACAATGAACTTCACCTTTCTTCTGTTTAACCTAGAAAATGATATCATAGTCTCTAGATTTTTACCCTTGATCAAAGAGTAGACTGCGTCTCATGCCCACCAAAACTGAGATATTGTAGAACCTAGTGTTTTTAATATTTGCCTCATCTCTTCGTAAAGCCTAGACAGCTAAGTAAGTAGGGAACTGCTTTCTCCATGAGGCTTGTCTGGCTGTAATTAGTCTTGCCACATTTCAGTTTGTAGATGTTGCAGCATATGGAGACTTTATTGAATAGAAAAAATGTTGTATTCTTATTTCCTGAATGGCTTTAGGAAATATTTCTTTCCTGACCTTAAGCATCTGTGTACGAGACCCCTTTGTACCACGTCATGCACTAAAAGACCTTCATCGGTTCATTAGTTGAGTTTTGTCTTGTGAACCCAGCGGGAAGCTTTTGGCAGCAAGGCTTGTCTTCGGTTTGGGTGGTTTTGGCTTTCACATTCCCAACGGGACACAGAACCCTGAGAGGCAACTGGAGGAGCAGTAGAGGGTGGTAGCTAAGATCGTGGACTCGGGGCCGGACCGCCTGGGTTCACATCACTGCACCACTTACCAACTCTGTGACTTTGGGCAAGTTTCTTAATCTTTCCATACTCAGCTCCTCATCTGTAAAATGGCTTATATAGCATCTACCTCGTAAGACTGTGGTGAGGATCAAATGTGTGGTTTGTGGAAAACATTTGCAGCAATGCTTAGACCTAGGAAGCATTTTAAGTTTTAGCTATCATATACCCTGACTGCATTAACCTAAATGTCTTAAAATTTTTCTTCCGGGAACCAGGATGTTCTAGGGAGGTACACGTGATTTTTCTGAAGACATGTGAAAATTGCCAAACATTCACACTGAGAAACACCTCTGTAAAGAAAAGAAAGATTTTAATTAGATTTCCAAATAATAACAAGTTAACTGAATTGTAAAACTACCTTGGAACCTCAGATCTTCAACGTGATGCTGATAATCAGATCTTCTTTCCCAGGATTTTGGTTATAACAACTGAACTAATATTATGTCCTTTGAAGTGAACTTTTAAAAGAGTGAAACCAATAATGTGTTAAGGGCACTTGATTTAAAAAATGAATCGTAATAATATAGGATTCTTTTATTCGTATGTGTAAAAATTATCAACCCATTTCAGAATGTAGCTGTATTTCATGTAATAGGTTGTAAAGCATGAGGCTGAGAATTATTTCTTTTTTTTAGACAACAATAAGCAATATCATCTCAATTGAAACTCCTAATACAGCCCCATCAAGTAAGAAAAAAGACAAGAAAGAACAACTTTCAAAAGCCCAGAAGCGTAAGCTGGCAGATAAAACAGGTTTGTGTGTTTTTTCTTTCTTTTTTCTATTTTTTCTTTTTTTTAGACAGAGTCTCACTCTATCGCCCAGGCTGGGGTGCGGTGGCATGAGAACTAACTGCAACTTCCACCTCCCAGGTTCAAGTGGGATGCATGCTATTACACCTGGCTAATTTTTATATTTCTAGTAGATACGGGTTTCACCATGTTGCCAGGCAGGTCTCGAACTCCTGACCTCAGGTGATCCACCTACCTCGGCCTCCCAAAGTGTTGGGATTATAGGCGTGAGCCACCACGCCTGACCTTTTTTTTTTTCCTTTTATAACCCAGATAAATGGATGCTTTTTAGTGTCATGTGGTGAATATATCTAGATTAATTCTGTACTTTTTATTCTTGGAACATTTGGGTCAGAGATCTTTTGGGTCATGTGTATATTTTCAACATACTGAGACTGAGGCTGAGACAGAGAATCTCTTGAACCCAGGAGGCAGCAGTTGCAGCAAGCCGAGATCGTGCCACTACACTTTAGCCTGGGCAACAACAGCAAAACTCTGTCTCAAAAAAAAAAAAAAAGAAAAGAAAATACTTACTATTACTTCATCACAAGAGATCATCATTTGAAAAGAAGGTAACTTAGGGGCCAAGTAACTATAAATGAGTCTAGAGATTGAGGAACATTCGAATAGTCTGCAAAAACGTGTTTTACCTGGAGCTCTGACATGATTGGGATTGTATTTGTTTATCTCTTTGGGAGGTGTGTGTTATTAAACAATTTTTGAAATACAGCTTTCATTTGAAATGAATACTGGTATACCATTAGATCTTAGTGTGATAAGTAATTTAACATTTATTTATTTATACAACAATAAGATTTAAGAATAAAATTCTCGGCTGGGCACGGTGACTCATGCCTATAATCCTAGCACTTTGGGAGGACAAGGTGGGCGAATCATGAGGTCAGGAGTTCGAGACCAGCCTGGCCAACATGATGAAACCCCATCTCTACTAAAAATACAAAAAATTAGCTGGGCATAGTGACGGACGCCTGTAATCCCACCTACTCGGGAAGCTGAGGCAGGGGAATTGCTTGATCCCGGGAGGCACAAGTTGCAGTGAACTGAGATCGCACCACTGCACTGCTCTCCAGCCTGGTGTCAGAGGGAGACTGTGTATCCAAAAAAAGAAGAATAGAATTCCCTTGTGTCCTAAACAAGAAACAAAAGTCCTTTAGAGATTATGAACTCCAGCTCATATCAGCAATATTGTTTGATTACTTTTCGTTATTTAAGCTGAAAACTTGCCAATTGATAATAGTCTGTGAACGTTTTCAGTTAGGGAAAATGAGGACATTGTCATTTGTCCACTTGCGCATTTATACTTACGTATCTATGTGTGTGCTACTAGTGTGAGGTTAAAAAGTTTCTCTGTTGAGAAGAACTGACCCTTTTATTTTGGTGAGGGCCTTTTAAATGCCCTTTCTTTTGTAATGGAATGGCAGTTTTTTTGGTTTATGTTTTGTTTAATGTCTGTCTGTGGCAAATAGCAGCTCTGTGTTTGTCCCCAAAATGCATTTTTGAAATGGTAATGGTTTATGAAATAAAAAAGCTAGGAATTCATTATACCTAATGTCAGAGCACCATTAAAGTATAAAAACAACTGAAGCAGTGAATTGTAAGCCCTTACGGTGTTGTCTAGAATTCGGTTTCTCTCTCTTTGAGTGTTGTAGCATCTATGTCAGTTAGGTACTGTTGCTTTCATACAGAATGACCTGTGATCACTCATTTCCATTTCAGTAATATCTCCCTACCTTCGTCTCTTCGATGATGTCCCCCTAAAGCCATTACCTTCCTATAATGACAGTATAGGAGTTTGTGACTTGGAGCTTTCTTTCTAAATAAAACTTTAATGGGACAGCCATGGCACATGGTGATTTGCTCCTTATAACCAGTAACCAGTGGGATACGATTCTTCTTGGCATGAAGGAGAAAAGAACTGGTGTCATCTAAAATTGAGCTCCAGTAATACTGCTTCTCCCTTACAAGTATCGGGGGTTAATTTCTTTTTCCCTCGCTGGAAAATTCATATAACATACTTGTTTTGAGTGTTTTAAGTTTTGAAGGTTTCATAAAGTTGAGACATGTATGGCATACATCAAGCATAAAGGAAATCAGGCCACTTTTAAATTGAAGAATTTGTAGATAGTATTTGTTAAGCTATTCTTTGAATATTCTGTTAAAAGAATAAAAGCACTTTATAAACTATTATGAGCGAATTTCCATGCAATCCCAACAGACTAAAGCCCTTTTTAAAGAATGTTAGATTAAATAATGAATATTTTATCAGAGCACAGCAACTAATACATAAGTTAGCCAGCCCTCCTCTTAGTCTTGAAGCCAAGCTAGACTGTGTTTGTTGGTCTTCCCGTCTTGAGCCTGGCTTCTGGGTGTGAAATGCTAATTTATTAAACAGAACAGTACAGGTTCTTTCTTGAATAAGCAATGACCTTAGATAAAGCAGAAGCTTCATGCAAATGTGTGAAACTAATAAATGGATTAACTGCTCTTCTGGCATTGCCAACCCGTCTCCAGATTTTTTCCTTGCTTTCAGATTTTTCTTGGACAGCAATGTCATAAATGTAAAAAAGGAGTATACCGAAAATATTTTGCGGGTATTCCCAGGAGAACAGTATCGATTCATAATGATAAACTGTGTTTCCAACTTAGTAATACGTCATTTAAATTTTTAATCTATTTGTTGTGTATAATAGTATAAAAATCTTATTTAGAATATTAATTTGAAACTAGCTGATTGGTCTTGGAAATAAAGTTACTATTTTTGTCTTCTAGATCACAAAGGAGAACTTCCTCGAGGCTGGAACTGGGTTGATGTTGTGAAGGTATTTAACATTTATATTCTAGTCTTTCAACTTGTTATCATTGTTACCAGCAAATAATGAAATTCCTGTTTTTTGTTTCCCTCTTCACAACCTTTGGAATTTCCTGGGATGTCTGTTTCCTTTTTCACATTCAGCATGTAAGTATTGTTGAAATACCTTTCACATTCTTCTCTTCCCTGCACTCGCAATTCTAGCTATTCTTTTTTTAAAATAATGGAAGATTCACAGAAGTAAGTTATAACTACAACATAGTATGACTGTGTAAGTACATCTTAAGAATGCAGATGTGGCTGGGCACGGTGGCTCACTCCTGTAATCCCAGCACTTTGGGAGGCCGAGGCGGGCACATCATGAGGTCAGGATATCAAGACCATCCTGGCCATGGTGAAACCCCATCTCTACTAAAATACAAAAAATTAGCCAGGTGTGGTGGTGTGCACCTGTAGTCCCAAGCCACTCAGGATGCTGAGGCAGGGGAATAGCTTGAATCTGGGAGACGGAGGTTGCAGTGAGCCAAGATCGTGCCACTGCACTCCAGCCTGGTGAAAGAGTGAGACTCCGTCTGAAAAAAAAAAAAAAAAAAAGAATTCAGATGCTTAGGGCGTGGTGGCTCATGCCTGTAATCCCAGCACTTCAGGAGGCAAAGGTGGTTGGATCACCTGAGGTTACAAGTTCAAGACCAGCCTGGCCAACATGGTGAAACCCTAACTCTACTAAAACTACAAAAATCAGCTGGGCGTGGTGGCACGAGCCTGTAGTCCCAGCTACTCAGGAGGCTAAGGCAGGAGAATCGCCTGAACCCAGGAGGCAGAGGTTGCAGTGAGCCAAGATCATGCCACCGCACTCCATCCTGGTTGACAGAATGAGACTCCATTTAAAAAAATTAAAACTGGGTTCTTCTTTACCTCATGGGAAAGAAGAAAAAAAAAAAGAAGAATGCAGATGCTTAAATACTACTATAAGTTATCAGCAATATATGGAAACTAAAGAAAACCAGACATGGAAAATAGTGTTTTAGTTAGAAATTACTTTTTTGTTTTTGAGACAGGATCTTGCCCTGTCACCCAGGCTAGCTGGTGGCATGATCACGGCGGCTCACTGCAGCCTTAACTTCCCAGGCTTAAGTGATCCTCAGCCTCCTGACTAGCTGGGATCAAAGGCACGTGCCACCATGCCAGGCTAATTTTCTTATAATACGTAGAGACAGATATGTTGGCCAGGCCTGTCTCGACCTCCTGGGCTCAGGTGATTCTCGCACCTCAGCCTCACAAAGTGCTGGGATTACAGGCATCAGCCGCCACACCTGGGCCCAGTGTTTGTGGGTTTTGTTAAGGACAGATCTTGAATTCAGTTGTTCGTCATACCAAGAACAGTTTTCTGTTTTTGTTTAAAATGGTTTGCTTTCGTTTTGAATTTTTCTGCCTACATGTCTCAAATTGTTCTTGTATTAGCTGTAGTTTCAAATACATTAAACTAATATTCAACACAGTAAATGAATTCTTTTTGTAGGACTTGATGAAATACATTTTGCATTCCAGTTAGTGCCACAACTTTTGTGAGAAGCATGTAATGTGATGCAAGGGTGGTTAAAGATGAGGGTTTTAGTGAGGACCCACACACATGGGTAACTCACAGGCAGTGGTTCCTAAACCTTTTTGCTTTTTGTTTTGGGTTTTTTGTTGTTGTTTTGTTTTTGAAGACAAGGTCTGGCTCTGTCGCCCAAGCTAGAGTGCAGTGGTGTGGACGGGACTCACCGCAGCCTTGACCTTCCCCGAAAGGTGATCCTCTCACCTCAGCCTCCCATGCAGCAGGGGCCGCAGGCATGTACCACCACACCCATCTAATTGTTTGTGTTTGAGACACAGTCTCACTTTGTTGCTCAGGCTGGCCTGCAGGGGCACAATCTGGGCTCACTGCAACCTCCACCTTGAGTTCAAGTGGTTCTCCTGCCTCAGCCTCCCGAGTAGCTGGGATTACAGGCATGTAACCCACACCTGGCTAATGTTTGTGTATTTTAGTAGAGATGGGTTTCACCATATTGGCCAGGCTGGTTTCAAACTCCTGACATCAAGTGATCTGCCCACCTCCGCCTCCCGAAGTGCTGGGATTATAGGTGTGAGCCGCTGTACTCGGCCTAGTTTGTTAATTTTTACTAGCAACAGGGTCTCACTTTGTTGCCCACACTGCTGGTCCCAAACTCCTGGGCTCAGGTGATCCTTCCACTGTGGCCTCCCAAAGTGCTGGATTACAGGCATGAGCCACTGCTCATAGCTATTTTCTTTTTTTTGTTTTGAAACCAAATCTCGCTGTCACCCAGGCTGGAGTGCAGTGGTGTGACCTTGGCTCACTGTACGCTCCACTCCTGAGTTCAAGCAGTTCTTGTGCTTCAGCCTCCCAAGTAGCTGGGACTATAGGCACACACTACCACACCTGGCTAATTTTTGTATTTTTAATAGAGATAGGGTTTCACCATGTAGACCAGGCTGGTCTCAAACTCCTGGCCTCAAGTGACGCCCCTGCCTCTCAAGTTATTGATATTACAGGTGACAGCCACCATGCCCGGCCCTGGCCATTTTCTTAAACTTTATTTTAAAGCCAGCTGTTTGGTCCATGGAATGCATTTTCTATTGAAGCTTCAAAATAATATTTGTGCTTCTAATAACTAGTACAAAAATATTTCCTGGGAATGGGGCCCTAAGGTACAATTGGAAGAAACGCAGTATTTCTTCCTCCCCTATATAAGATACTCATATGAGTGAAGTCTCTCTGGCATTCTCTCATTTTCCCAGGGGCCCTTCTCCACCGATGCTTGATGGATACTTCATGTTGTCCTCCGTGTACCAATATTTAGCCTAACCAGCTAAATCCATTCTTTCCTCCAAATGTGCTGTGCTCCAGAATGAGCAGTTGCCATTTCCATTTTTTTTTGAGATGGAGTTTTACTCTTGTTGCCCAGGCTGGAGTGCAGGGGTGCCATCTTGGCTCACTGCAACCTCTGCCTCCTGGGTTCAGGCGATTCTCCTGCCTTAGCTTCCAGAGTAGCTGGGATTACAGGCATGTGCCACCATGCCCAGCTAATTTTGTATTTTAAGTAGCGACAGGGTTTCTCCATGTTGGTCAGGCTGGTCTTGAACTCCCAACTTCAGGTGATCCGCCCACCTCGGCCTCCTAAAGTGTTGGCATTACAGATGTGAGCCTCCATGCCTGGCCAGACTGAGCAATTTTCTTAGCCAAAATGTTGCCTCTCTCAGTGCATCTCTAAGCTGAAAGTGAGAAGAAAAAGAATCTGATCTAAAGGTGTTGATAGTGCTCCTCCTTCCCTAGCTCCAGAAGCTTTTATTTTTAAGAGTCCTTGTTAATATAAATAGAATTACAATTTGTAACAAAGAGTAAAATTCAAATTATCCAGTAATCTTGGGAGGTGAAAGATTTTTTTTTCTTGAGACAGAATTTCGCTCTTGTTGCCCGGGCTGGAGTGCAGTGGCACGATCTCAGCTCACCGCAGCCTCTGCCTCCTGTGTTCAAATGATTCTCTTGCCTCAGCCTCCCAAGTAGCTAGAATTATAGGCACTTGCCACCGGCTACTTTTTGTATTTTTTAGTAGAGATGGGGTTTCGCCATGTTGGCCAGGCTGGTCTTGAACTCCTGATCTCAGTTAATCCACCTGCCTCGGCCTCCTGAACTGCTGGGATTGCAGGCGGGATCCACCGCGCCCAGCCTGAAAGAAGATATTTTTTTAAGGAGGTTACTACCTAGACATAATTTGGTCTATGAATCTATTATGCTAAGCTAGTGGTTTCCAACTGTGGGCTTTGGACCCTTGGGAGGTCCCTGAGACTCTCTTAGGGAGTATGCAAAATCAAAACTATTTACATAATAATCCGAACATGATGTGTGCCCTTTTAACCCCCCCCCCCTTTTTTTGTAAGACGGAGTCTCGCTCTGTTGCCCAGGCTGAAGTGCCATGGTCCAGTGTTGGCTGACTGCAACCTCCGCCTCCCAGGTTCAAGCGATTCTCCTGCCTCAGCCTCCCAAGTAGCTGGGATTACAGGCGCCCGCCAACACGCCCAGCTAATTTTTGCATTTTGAGTAGAGACAGTGTTTCACCATGTTGGCCAGGCTGGTCTCGAACTCCTGACCTCAAGTGATTTACCTGCCTCAGCCTCCCAAAGTGCTGGGATTACCAGCTTGAGCCACCACTCCCAGCCTTAACCCATTTTCTTATGCTTCTTTTCTGGCATTTCCAGAGGCTGCATGACATTGGATGATGCCATCACTAATACTCTTAAAGCATTAAGAGAACATGTGTTTGAATATCCTTGTGTTTGCCAGAATTTTCTCAGCTAATAGGTTGAGGATGTGTGTATTAACCCAGATCGCTCTTAGTATTTCTGCTGTGTTCTCAGTACTTCTGCTGTGTTCTCAGTACTTCTGCTGTGTTCTTAGTACTTCTACTGTGCTGCTGTTAGCTGTCTTCCATTATACCTGATTTACTGTTGGAGCATATTTGTGAGAAGCCGGCCATCTTCCACTGAAATAGATAATAAAGAGATTTGGGTGGGGCATGGTGGCTCACACCTGTAATCCCAGCACTTTGGGAGGCCTAAGCAGAAGGATTGCTTGAGCCCAGGAGTTCAAGACCAGCTGGGAAACTTGGTGTGAATCCCTCTCTACAAAAAGTTTAAAGTTTTTAAGAGCGTGAAGAGGTCCTTGGGCCGAAATGTTTGAGAACCAGCACCTTTAGTGGCTTCTGCTTTTCGTGGCTTCCCACAGTCTCTGGAGTTCCTGCAGTTGTCGGGTACAGTAATCTTTCTCAGTAGGTGGGGCACTAGTCTGCTCAGAGTCGCCTTGCTATTTTATCTGCCCCTCTTACCCCAGATTTGCCAACCCCTACCGAAGATTTTTCTCAGAAAAAAATTGCAACGCAAAAATAAGACTCTTACCATATTTTCAAGGTAAGAATGTGTTGTCTGGTTAAGATGGTAAATCTCATGTTACATATTATTTTTATTTGACCACAATTTAAAAATTTTTTTTAATGTTAAAAGAATGCATGATAGAAAACAAGAACTGGAAGAATGTCATTCATTTTATAAATTCTGTTTGTATATTCTTGGTTCCAGTTTATTTCCTAAAAAGCTTCAAAAGTATCCCACTCACCCACACACCTGCCACCCTTGTTCTGTTGAGTTTAGATTTTTGTCGAAGTTATATTTTGAAAACTTTGAATTACCTGAGCTAGAAGTTGAAAAGTGTGATAAAAGCTATAGGTGATTTAAATTACTTGAAACTTGTTGCCTATAGTTTAATTTTGTTACTCCATGGAAATAATGAACTCAGAAAATATCGCTTAAACTTGTTGACTATTTTCTGTTTTTGTTTTTTTTCTAGTTAAGCAAAACTGGCTCTAAGGATGATGAGTAGCACTTGGAATTTGAGACGAAGAAAGAGCATTCTTTAAAAAGTAGACTGGGTTCAAAATCTTCCATTGCTATTTTCTGGTATTGAGGTGGCTTTTTATAAACCACAAATTTTTGTATGTTTCTTACATTAAAAATGTTGTAAGTTGAAAGTTGATGAAGAGATCTGGTTATATTAAATTATTTTCACAAACTTGCCTTAATAAAAGGTGAAAATGTTACTGTTTAGTATACTTTATGAAGCCTCTTGAGCTTCGTAAATGGACAGGCACGGGAATAAGAATCAGTGTTACTTTATATGCTCTTATCCTGGCAGATGTGGTATTTTCTTAAAGGAGTATGAAGGCTTTTCAAACCATCACCCCAGTGGAGCACAGTACTCAATGAATAGTTACTCCATAGTGCAGTCCATATGAATAGTCTTCTTATCTTACAGAAAGTCTTCATTTCTCCTTTTGCTTGTTAACTGAACCATAAATTGCTTCAGAGAAATTCAAATGCTGGTATTTGAACTTTATTCATGATATTCTTTGTAGTTTCTTTTAAATTTTTGAAAGGTGAACTGCTTCCCTTGAATAAATTAATATCTATTTATACTTTTCATTTGCGTCAAGATGTTTGATCACGAGTGCTTTGAATGATATGTGTAACGGGAGAATATGGAAACAAACCTGCCAAATACACTAGAAAGTATTGTAATGAGAAACGCTGGCTCTTACTTAAAACATTCTCTTTTGCATATACCAGGATGGGAGTAAAAGATGCCTTAATATTTAATTTTTGTGTTGTTGGAGACATTGATTTTAATAAAATCCTATTTATCTGCCGTTCTGTGCTTTTAGTCGTTGGATAACTGAGGTCTCCTAAATGGTTCAACATGAACCCACATTTCAAGTCTTTTTTCTTTTTCGAGTGTCTTTTCAAGTGTTCAAATGTATCTCGCAACCTGAGCATCTTTTTAATCATATACGTGGGAATCTTTTAAATGCTCAACTGTTATACATGCTTGATTTTAAAAAAATAATAATAGAGGAAACCACTGGTCTAGTTGTACCAAGATAAGTTTCTGCTGTTTGTGTGTGTTATACAGTGATTTTGTGTACGTGCCCAGCTTTAAGAATACATAAAACTACTGTTAGGTGTGGTAGGGAGACTGTTAGTTTCTCAAGTCACACCTGTGCAGCTTGGGTCTGAGTTTTTATGGAATAATACTCGCTTAAAGAAGTTCAGAGCAGTTTGAGTTGTATCTGTGGTTTTTACTGGTTAACTGACTTCAGCTAAATAGTTTGAATTATAGAGTAAGTGTAATTACAGCAAAGGAATTAATCTCATTTTCAAAAGCCAAATCACATTTTGTTTCTTGAATTAATGTAGAGCAAAACATGTTAAAAATTCAGGGCTACTGGAATTGCGCCAAATTTTGTTTCAGGGTCGAATGTGGGTAGTATCTGTTGTATTGGTTTGTTTCTGTGTTTTTGAAGAAACATCTGCTAGTGGAATAAAATACTTGGTTTTGCTCTGAGGATTCTGAAATTGTTCAGGCTTATTATGGCTCATAGATTACAGAGAATGATGCTAGTTACATGCCAATGAACTATTTTTACTCTTTTTACATGAAATGTACAGATTTCTAGGGGCGGTGGTGACGGTGGTGCCTCCTATTTCCTTATGTGAAACACTGGAACAGTCCCATCAATTTTGCCGTCATCTGTTTAACACGCCCAGTATATTTTCTCAATGTCTGTTTACGTAAATTTTGTGGAGCGACACAATTCATAAGCAATAAAGTCTGAATTACACACTGATTTTTCTACACGTTTTATTTCAAATCACTCCAGAGAGAACTGTTGATTTTATAAATCTGCATAGCCTTATGGTGTAAGATGTACCCTCCTCCTAGAAACAATTCAAAATGTTGGATTAAAAAATGTTTTTCAAATGAGCTCACAGAAGATAAGTAATGCCCAGAGTCTAAAACATTCAGTGAAAGTTGGAACGTGGAGGTTTAAGGACAGCTTTAGTTTTCAGTTTCAAGGGCCCAGAAGACAAGAGATGATGGCCAGGATCAGCCCAGGTTAGGGAGTTATACCCCCGAAACATCTATGAAACTGAGGCCCAATCCCCAGTGGGAGCCCCAAGGAAGTTTTCTGTCTTGAACTGTGGTTCTGGATGGAAAAGTAAAATATAAGTATATACATAAATTAGCGGACACACACACACACACACACTCCTGACAGGTTGTGCCCCAAGTTACCTCACACTTGGCTTTCAGCCCAAATTCCTCCTCCGTGTGTGATTTTAAAACAGACAAAAACCGTCAAGCCAATATTTTAGTTGAAAGTAGTACCAAATCGGTAAGGGCTCTGGGTAACCGTGAGAAATGAACACACATCTGTTCTGCTTTTTCAGAACTCAACTTCAACCCTGACCGCCAGTGAGTGCCCTATAAGGAGTTTATGGAATGTGGCCTTAAAGTCAAAAACGACAATACATAAAAGCAAGGCAGGAGAGCCTGCCAAAACAACCTTAGGGCCTAGGAGCCACAAGGATATGGTGACACCATGCAGACTCTAAGTGTGTTTTCAATAAATGAGAAACTATTTCAATAAAAAAATAGAGAACAAGAAAATTATCAAACAGATTTGAAAACCAAAGAGAACTTTATGAAATGAAAAAATAATTGAAGTTAAAGATGACAAATCCGCAAGGACAGATACCCCGTGGGATGAAACCGGTCCTAGGCCCGCATTTTGGGTTTTCTCTTTTTCATTGCAGCGTTAGAATAATTCCACATCATTTCTTTGCAGGCTACAACTTTTTTATTTGTTGGCATGATTCAAGCTTTGACCAAGCCCTGCTCCATACTATAGATATGCCTAACCCTAGTTACTGGAACTTTTCTGGAGGAGTTTCCTTTCTGTAGAGAGATAGGGTCTTGCTCTGTCACCCAGGCTGAGTGCAGTGGCACAATCATCTCATTGCAGCCTCCCCGGCACCTCGGCTCCTGAGTAACTAGGACCCCAGATATGCAGAAGAGAGCTGTTTTGAGGATTTGGCCAGTGTTTCCAGAAGGCTATCTGTGATTGCTTTAAAAATAAATTTGGCAGAGCACATTGGCTCACTCCTGTAATCACAGCACTTTGGGAGGCCGAGGTGGGCAGATCATTTGAGGCCAGGAGTTCAAAACCAGCCTGGCCAACATAGCAAAACCCTGTCTCTACTAAAAGTACAAAAAAATAAGCTGTGCATGATGGCAGGCACCTATAATCCCAGCTACTCGGGAGGCTGAGGCACAAGAATTGCTTGAACCCGGGAGGCAGAGGTTGCGGTGAATTGAGATCACGCCATTGCACTCCAGCCTGGGTGACAGAGTGAGACGCTGTCTCAAAAATAAATAATAAGTATAAAAGTCATGCTATGTAATAACAACAGAGATTAGTGATTGCAGGTTTTTACCTTTGAATATTCCAGAGTGAAAACAGAACAAGAGGGACTGGCCACCTAGGATTCAAAATTTCAGTATTTTCAGTTAATGTGACAAAAATAAGTAATATGTAACCCAGAGTGATTTTCAAATTCATGTTGCTTTAGTGAGGAAATTAATCAGGAGTCTTTACTGCATTTTTAATGGAATGGGAGAGAATAGCACTGAACAGAAAATACCAGCATCACTACCTGTTGTTAGAGTGGTTGGTTCCCTGTGAAAACTAGTTTGAGGTACGCACATATGGATACTGAGTCACCAAGTAAAATTTATTAAAATGAGTCATGAAAAAAGTGTGAAAGCCACTGATCAGAGTATCCGAAAGATGGAACAACTCTCATATGAAGACTGTTAACTTTTAGAGGCACAAAATGTGCCTCTCAAAGTGCTAAGGATGGCTGGCTCAGTGGCTCATGCCTGTAATCCCAGCACTTTGGGAGGCTGAGGTGGGCGGATCATGAGGTCAGGAGTTCGAGACCAGCCTGGCCAATATGGTGAAACCCCGTCTCTACTAAAAATGCAAAAATTAGCTGGGCATAGTGGGTCATGCCTGAAGTCCCAGCTACTCGGGAGGCTGAGGCAGAAGAATGGCTTGAACCCAGAAGGTTGAGGTTACAGTGAGCCGAAATCACGCCACTGCACTCCAGCCTGGACGACAGACCGAGACTCTGTCTCAAAAAAAAAAAAGAAAAAGAAAAGCGAAGTGCTGAGGACTTTTATCGTGGATTTTTGCATTATTCCTGAAGATAAAGTAATTGCACAATATGAGGAGAGGAGCAAGTGTTTGAGAGTGGGGTCTTTAATGACTTTGTAAATTCGGAATGATGAAAATTCTTGCATGATAATTTTGGCCCATATGAAGAGCTGAGAACATTTTAAGAGGCAATGCCTGAATAAATAGATAAGGAATTTTAATGGCCTTAATTTCTCACTAATGAGAATCAAAAATAAGAAAATTAGTTTAGCTTTCCCATTTCTAGAGGAATAACCACATTTGCTTGCTGAGTTTCCTGTGTAAATCTAGTTTGCAGAATAAATTGTCACAATAGGTTGATGGTGGTGATAAAGTAGACAGGAAACGTGCCCACCCCTGCCCGTTCTCCGTTTGTTATTGCTGGCACCTGGGGAGTTTCAAGCGCTCTTGCCTGCTGGGCTGCAGCCTTCGGGAGCTGTAATAAGTCCTTTTCTGTGCCTGCCACGAAGTCTGGCCTGTTGGGAAACAATTCTTGATTTTTTTTTTTTTTTTGAGACGGAGTTTCGCTCTTGTTACCCAGGCTGGAGTGCAATGGCGTGATCTCGGCTCACCGCAACCTCCGCCTCCTGGGATCAGGCAATTCTCCTGTCTCAGCCTCCTGAGTAGCTGGGATTACAGGCACGCACCACCGTGCCCAGCTAATTTTTTGTATCTTTAGTAGAGACGGGGTTTCACCACGTTGACCAGGAAGTGCTGGGATTACAGGCTTGAGCCACCGCACCCGGCCAATTCTTGATATTTTGAACAACAAGCCACGTCTATGCTCCATTGTTTCTCCTTTTGTTAGTGGAAAAGAATGCAGCTTAGAAAAGGAGGAAACCTGGGAGTGGAGACGGGATGCAGGTTTAAAATATTTGGCTTCATAATGGGGTGATCAGAAATTAACCAGCCGGGTGCGGTGGCTCACGCCTGTAATCCCAGCACTTTAGGAGGCCAAGGTGGGCGGATCACGAGGTCAGGAGATCAAGACCCTCAGGGCTAACACAGTGAAACCCCATCTGTACTAAAAATACAAAAAATTAGCCAGGTGTGTTGGCAGGCACCTGTAGTCCCAGCTACTCTGGAGGCTGAGGCAGGAGAATTGCTTGAACCCAGGACATGGAGGTTGCCGTAAGCTGAGATGGCACCACTGCCCTCAGCCTGGATGATACAGCAAGACTGTCTCAAAAAAAAAAAGAAAGAAATTAACCTTGAAAGTTTAACACTGGGATAGTTTTTAGAGTACACAAAGCAATCACGGAAAAGGTTTGTGTTTAGTGTGGTTGTGGAATCTACTTAGGAGGAATCTTTTCCTCCTAGGTGCTCCGGCCTTTCATTGTCCTGCTCCTACGGGAAGATGAAGCCGCATGCCATATGTTGGTTTTTACAGAGGGCAGTAGGTATTCTGAGTCTCTTACAGTCGATCTCTGTGAAGGAACGTATACATATTTGGAAACCGAAGCCCACAGGAGATTTTCATCTCTGAGGCTTCCTCACGGGAAGCCAACACTTTAGCTTCTATATCTCTTCACTATCCTTTGTGTTCCTAAAATTGTACTTTTTTCAAATATCTACCCAACAGTATGATTATTTTTAAAACACAAAATTATTGGCCAAGTGTGGTGGCTCACACCTGTAATCCAGCACTTTGGGAGGCCAAAGCAGGAGGATCACCTGAAGTCAGGGGTTTGAGACCAGCCTGGCCAACATGGTGAAACCCTATCTCTACTAAAAATAAAAAATTAGGTGAGTGGCCTGTAGTCCCAGCTACTCGGGAGGCTGAGGCAAGAGAATCGCTTGAACCCAGGATGAGGAGGTTGCAGTGAGCCGGAATCGCACCACTGCACTCCAGCCTGGGCGACAGAGCAGAGTCCGTCTCAAAGGAAAAAAAACTATCAAAACCTTTTCCTCCCCCTTCCATTTTTCTGAAGATCGCTAAATCTACCATTGTCGTTTTGCCATTTCATTTGATAAATTACACGAACAAAATATTCTTCACCTCCCAGGGGCATCTCACAAATTAAATTTAAATTGACGGATGTTAGTTTTTTGTTTGAAATCCTCCTGATAGCTGAGAAGTCATGCAGTTTGGTTATAAGAATGTCCATCCATCTGCTGAAGGAAAGCTTAACTCCCACTACGTGCTGACAAATACCATCTGTTAAATTTTTCCGTTGGTTTCTATATTTTTCTTCTCATATGTCAGTGTTTTAAAATTTCTTATTTTTTATTTTTATCAAAGCCATACGTGTAGATAGTTTTAGAAGGCAGGCCGTCGTGCAAGGCTTTTAACTTCATAAAAAAGATCTTTTCCCTCCTATCACAATACCCACCCAACGGGGGTCACTGCTTCCAGCTGTTTTTAGTGTGAGCTGGTCTCTAAGGCCCTGGACTCCTGCTGGGTCTGGCCCTCCTCTCAGGTTCTTCCCTACCACGATCTTGCCTGTGGCATTTGTTCTGGCTGTTTCCTCTGCCTGAGACTCTCCCCCAGATAATTGTAGGATCTTTGCTCCAAGTCTGCTTTTTACTGAGTGAGGCGGAGAGCCTCCAGAGCATCCGTATTGAGCAGAGGAGCGAGGGGATCTGACTTGTGTGTTGAGAATAGTCAAGCCAGAGGGAAGGCAGGAAGGCCACTTAGGGAGCTGTTGAGAAGTGGGTGAAGAATGACGATTACTGGACACGGGTGGGAGGTGGGAGTGGGTGAGCAGCGGTCAGTTTCTGGATGTGTAGTGAAGGCGCCGCTGACAGGCTTGCTGATGAATCAGATGAAGGATATGGGAGAGCTGGAAGCGTCAAAGATGACTCCAAATTGGTTTTTGGCCTGAGCAATTGAAAAAAAAAATCAATTGTTAATGATATTAGTTCTGCTTAACTGATTCTATAAATAAGGCAATCCTGTAAATAAGTAAGGTAATCCCAATGAAATTGCAACTGGATTTTTAAAAGAAAGAAAGGCTGGCCGGGCGCAGTGGCTCAAGCCTGTAATTCCAGCACTTTGGGAGGCCGAGGCGGGTGGATCACGAGGTCAAGAGATCGAGACCATCCTGGTCAACATGGTGAAACCCCGTCTCTACTAAAAATACAAAAATTAGCTGGGCATGGTGGCGCGTGCCTGTAATCCCAGCTACTCGGGAGGCTGAGGCAGGAGAATTGCCTGAACCCAGGAGGCAGAGGCTGTGGTGAGGCGAGATCGTGCCATTGCACTCCAGCCTGGGTAATGAGAGTGAAACTCTGTCTCAAAAAAAAAAACAAGAAAAAGCTGATTCCAAAGTTCTTGAGGAAAACTAAGCATACTAGAATAGACCAAAAAATGTGTAAAAAGGGTTACAATCTTTTAATTAAATATTTCAAGCAGCAAGAATTAAAGTGACACTGCTGATATCTACTCAGATCAATGGAAGAGAACAGAGCCCAGAAATAGAAGCGTGTGTGTGTGTGTGTGTGTGAGAGAGAGAGAGAACAGAGCCCAGAAATAGAAGCGTGTGTGTGTGTGAGAGAGAGAACAGAGCCCAGAAATAGAAGCGTGTGTGTGTGTGAGAGAGAGAACAGAGCCCAGAAATAGAAGCGTGTGTGTGTGTGAGAGAGAGAACAGAGCCCAGAAATAGAAGCGTGTGTGTGTGCGTGAGAGAGAGAGAGAGAACAGAGCCCAGAAATAGAAGCGTGTGTGTGTGCGTGAGAGAGAGAGAGAGAACAGAGCCCAGAAATAGAAGCGTGTGTGTGTGCGTGAGAGAGAGAGAGAGAACAGAGCCCAGAAATAGAAGCGTGTGTGTGTGTGTGAGAGAGAGAACAGAGCCCAGAAATAGAAGCGTGTGTGTGTGTGTGTGAGAGAGAACAGACCCCAGAAATAGAAGCGTGTGTGTGTGTGTGTGAGAGAGAGAGAGAGAGAGAACAGAGCCCAGAAATAGAAGCGTGTGTGTGTGTGAGAGAGAGAGAACAGAGCCCAGAAATAGAAGCGTGTGTGTGTGTGAGAGAGAGAACAGAGCCCAGAAATAGAAGCGTGTGTGTGTGTGAGAGAGAGAGAGAGAGAACAGAGCCCAGAAATAGAAGCGTGTGTGTGTGTGTGAGAGAGAGAGAGAGAGAGAGAACAGAGCCCAGAAATAGAAGCATGTGTGTGTGTGTGAGAGAGAACAGAGCCCAGAAA